CAAACAAACAAAAATAAATAATCTACTTTACAGTTACTTGTAAACCGTCTAAATTCACCTTGTTGAGCAAATTCCTCCCTAGCTAAGACCCAACTAATAAAATACTCCAAAGCACTCCTTTTAATTCTATATCATCCCTACAAACATTACTAAAAGCCTTTATGTTTCTCTCCTTCCAAATCTCCTAAACCCACGTGATTTTACATACATTTGGTAACAATGACAGATTCATATGGTCAATAATATTTGCCTGTCTCAACTAGAGGTAGAGGAAATCCAATTACTCCCAAATCCCATTACCACACCTTGAAAGAATATGGGCGAAAAAGGAAAATATGATCCCTATCCTCTTCATCACTTTTATAAAGCAAATGTATATTAACCAAGACTTTACCTCTCTTTCTTTAAGTTGTCCACAGTGAGAAGATGATCTAAAGATAATACGCGAAGGAGAGCTTGTAACTTGTGCAAAACTACCCACTTCTAGATTTTCACCAAATCACTCCTTGCTTACTTGTATTTATCAGCCAATAACCAATAATACAGAGATTTAACCGTAAAGACTACCCTGGATCCAGTTCTCACACTGCTGCATCTCCTCGATCCAAGCTAAGATACACCTGCTCAAGATCCTTCAAAGAAGTGAATCTCCTTCACAACCTCATCTAACACACGATTACACTGACATCCAAAGTTCCATGTGATTTGATAATCTCCACTGAAAGCCATATCTTTCGAAGTGACATTCTCATTTTCGACTAGTTTAAATACCCCTGAAAACTTAATTATCAACGGTTCATCCCCCAAACATTTATGATGCCAAAAGAAAACATCATCACATTACCAACAATATATCTGACATTCCTTAAAAAGGAATGGCTTGCAATGCCAGACCCCCTTCTAAATAAAGTAGCCATTCTTCTTAAAACTTGAATCCCCAACAAGGGACAATGATCTATCATTGCCATATTTTGCCAACAAAACCTAATTCCATAAATGATCTTGTCCATGGATACTCCTCCACCACTACTTAGATAAAGGGTGCGGTTTATATAGAGCCTAGGCTCCAAACAATCAAATTAGAGCCTACCTTCAAATACTATTGAGAAATGTGGTTTCAATACTGGAAATCTTTGTGATAGCCTTAAAATATATTTTCATTTTTATTTATAAAGTTTAAAGCTTCAAAAATAGTGTCGATCAACAGATCTATAAAAACTTGAAAATCTTGAAAATTGATGGTTAAAAAATATGTTACAAAATACACTATTTTCAAAACTTGAAATCCTTTTTTTTTTTTTTTCTGATGTCGAGATGATCAATTTGAAAAAATTTAAGCATCTAAACAACCTTTTCTAATTTAATTTTAGAGATGAGCTCTAATTTAATTGTTTAGAGCCTCAGCTCTATATAAACTTTTCCCTTAGATGAAAGAGTTTTAATCATAACTAATTCCCAATCCCCTCTCTACTCTTGGAGTGCGTGTCTTGTCCCATCCAACTAGATGATATTTCCTGTTCTCATTATATAAACTCGTCCCTTAGATGAAAGAGCTTTAATCATAACCATTAACCTTCTAATTCGCAATCCCCTCTTTACTCTTGGAGTGCATGTCTTGTTCCATCCAACTAGATGATATTTCCTGTTCTCATTATGAACGCTCAAAGCAACACTTTTATCAAGTTTTCTTGCTTAAGCACCACTTCATTTGATATACACAACAATGACACAAGATAAATACGTAAATTAGATTTAATTAAAGCGATCCTCCCCCTACTACCAATTGTTAAAACCTACCACGAACTAAAATTTGACATGCCTAAAGTAAGTCTAGTAGATATTGCATGAGAACTCTCAAGTTGAAAAAGAGAATACCTCCGAATATTCGGAAAACATGCCTTAGGATTTTCCTCTTATTGACTTAGCCCCAAAAAAAAATATTTTCCTCTCATTACGAAAATGGGGTTTTATTCTTTATTTATAAATGTTTTGTTTTTTTTGTTTTTGAATTGTTAACTGTTATTTATTTATAAATGTTGAAAGGGACTTTCCTATCATGTCCAAATTCCATCTCTTAGCCTTTCCAATCATACCTTGATGGTAACATGTTTGTACACTTTCACCTCAAAATCTTTGTTCAAATGCTGATGTGAGTGTGGGTTATTCAGAAATTAGGGCTAATACCTTATTAATTTGCTTCACGCTATGTAGTTTCTAAAATAAAATGCATTTTGATCATTTTCCTTTGTTAAGGTAGAAAGAAGCAGCTTCATCGCATCCCTCCCAACTGCGGGTATTAAGGAAGCTTCACTCCATATCACAATCCAATGTGATTCTGGCTATCTTGAAGGCATGTTTCGATGTACTCATAATCACCGATAATTTATCGATTCAACAAAAATTAATCTCGATAATGGATTATCTAGCAATGTCTATTTTATAGTTATATTCAGTGATTCAAAAGTCGGAATCCGATCCGGTTCTAGTGAAATATCGGAAATCGTCCGTTTCTAAATAAGAATCGGCGATTCCATGCCGTAAATCGCCATGTGACGTCATGATTCGGGGCCCGCCGATTCTTTAATGGGCATTTTTGTAAATTTATTGATTCATGATGTCATGGCCCGCCGATTCTTCAAAGTACACATACTTTAAGGTCCGCATACCTCGTCACGTGACTCTCCTCACTTCGCACACGTTATCCTTGTTAACTACAAAGAGGTATTTATTCACTACAACTTCCTTCTACCTCTTCGATGTGGGATAATGTGAGGGTATTAACTTGAAACATTAATATATTATATATTTTGTTTGGGCTTTTAATATTACTAAGTAGCATGTGGCTTACTGGTTATAACTTTCTTTCTCTCATGTGGGGCCTTTCTTTCTGCATGTGGAGGGCGTTGGTTTCTTTCTTTCTGTATGTGGAGGGCGTGAGTTCAATTCTCCTTGGGATGAAAGGGCATCCAATGAAACAAGGGGCTCTTTTATCAATTCTCCTTGGGATGAAAGGGCATCCAATGAAACAAGGGGCTCTTTTATCAACTATTTTTCTTGTCAATTTTATTTTTTTGAGGTCAAATTTTTTTCTTATAAAAAAAATGAAAAGCTTTTTTATCCATTTCGTTTTTTGTCAAATTTTTTTATTATAAAAAAAATGAAAGGTTTTTTTTATCAATTTCACATTTTGTCAAATTTTTTCCATACCAATAAAATAAAAATTTTCTTATAAAAAAAAATGAAAGGTTCTTATCAATTATTTTTAGGTCGATTCCTAATCTGAATGGGTTTTTGAAATGCCCGATCTGGATCACCGACCCGCTTTTTAAACCACTGGTTATATTATTTTATAGTTATATGCAATAAACATTTAGATATTTTATATTTATCTTTAATAAGCAGTTTTGACTTTATTCAAACTTACTGAAAATCAAACTTTTTAACCAAAAAATACTAAAATTAGTTGAGAATCACCAAAAAGTTCAACAATTAAATAATATTATATATAGGGCAAGCTTTCTATACTTCCCCTATAGCATAGAAGTTCTGTCCTCCCCTTTATCCAACCGTCCATTCTAAACGGAGGGCTAAGAATGCCCCAATCACAATGTCATGTCTTACAGTACTTTATTTTTAATTTTTTTTTATAAATTATTTTGACACCAAATTTTGGACTTCCCTCCCTCTATTAAACTCGCACTAACGAAAAATATAATTTTTTTTTTCAATAAAATAAAATGACCAAAATACCCTTGAAAGTTTCAAAAGGTATTTTGGTTGTTATATTTTACCGAAAAATTATTTTTAATATTTTTTATAGGTGCACCCCAATGAGAAGATGACATGTACCAAACTTCATATTCATACAATTTGTATAAAAAACATTAAAAATAAAATACTTTGAGACATCGGATCTACGCTCAAACGGTGAGTGGCTCTCTTGACCAAAATTGGATGGCTAGATGGTGCTGTAAGGGATGCATAGAAACCTTTGCCTTATATATAATGGTACTTGCCAATCAATCAACAAAACAATATTCTCAAAATATATTAATTTCAGATCTAGATTAAACTAATCGCCATCTAGACATGCTCTTAGTCTATCACACGAATGAGTATGCTTCTTAAGCAACGGGGCATTGTACGATTCAATGAAATGCCTTTCATGACTTCTCCAAAATCATATTTCTTTCTTTCTTGTGTTCCAAGTAGGTAGGATGCGATTCAAATCAAGACCAAATCAATCCAATGGTCTAAAATAAAACACTGAGTTTTATCAAGAATTAATCAAAACTAATGTTTGGTCAAATTTAGCCCGTTAGACAGGCCAACTTTAACCAATTCCACCAGTTAAAAAAACTTGAGCAAATTTTTTTAGTATATTTTATATATTTAAACTATTATGTCTATTTTTTTTTTTCTCCTTTATAAAATTTGACCTAAATCCTATCTAATTAGTTCAACCGTTAATTACCAATATTGACCAGACCAAACCCCTCACCAAATCGGTAACTAGTCCGATCCTGATAACACTATTTCAAATAATCATCATCAAACTTAGGTTTAACCACAAAGCCAAGAGGCTAGACCTCATCCCTCTCATTATCTTATCCAAAACAACTTAGTTGCAACGCGACATTAGCCTCTTTTCTTATTATATTCCTCAATAAGAGCCACCTCCAAAAAGAGATCAAATTCTATATTCCTTAATAAGAGCCACCTCCAAAAAGAGATCAAATTCGAAAGCCTCTGGTTGTCCCTTTTCCTTCTCCTTTTGGATGGTGTTGAATGGGATTAAAACCTCGGTTACCAGTGATGCATACTTCGCTACCTAACCCGTGAACCAAGAGGTAAGAACCTGAACCCTTCTCTTAGCATCTCTGCCAAATGAGCACATGAATCCCAACTGATCCAATACTCTCACCTTAACCAATGCCTATGTGCAGTTATCCTTGAAAATCAAAGTTGACGAAAAATTTAAACCTGCATGCTTAGTGCCATAATAGGCACATTAGAGAGGCAAGAGACCCTATGCAACTAACAAATACATCACAAACACATCTAAAATACTTCAAATTCCTGAACAAGTAGAACACTTTACAAAATTGCAAACCACACAACTCCCATCCAGATCTCCAGATGGCATTCTCGGATACATGGCAAGAACAAACTCCTTTTTCTATGTCTAGAAGTAGAAGCTGACTTTGGGAACCTTACCAATCAAAAGAAAGAACAAGAAAAAAAAGCTTCATGACCCTCTTGAATTGTTCAAGCTTGCCGCCTCTGCTGGGCCACATCCGTGGAGACTTCAAAGCCAGGTGGAATGAAGACAACATTATCCCACTTGGTCACATGGTTTTCCTGCAAATGCTTCCCTTGTTAGCATGGACTACATTAAAAGGTGTTATAACATTTGGGATGGCACCTATTCTACAAGTAGTATATTTTCCATAACTATAAGTGCTCTTTAACAGCTATTTTCTATGACGCACAGGATATGAACCATTCCTTTGCTTGAGCGGACAATGGCAAAAAGATGGATCATCTCCACCATTGGTCATTGATAGGGACAATGGAGACCAACATGTAGTAACACACACAATACCACATGTACTATAGTATAGATTCCGACAACATTTTTCAGAAAGGGAAAGGAAAACGAGAGAGAGAGAGAGAGAGAGAGAGAGAGATACCTTCATTCCTTTTATTATTTCTTCAAAAGCACAGACCTACATTGCGAAATATGGAGGACATTATGGAACAGTGTCTCTCTGTATTACGGAAAGTAAATATAGTCCCATGGACTATCAAGGAACCATAGCATCGCTGTCTGATGAAATGAGGAATAATGATAATGAGTGGGACCCACTGTTGAGATCATATCCTGTTCTGGTGGGTCACACTTCGTCACCATCCAATATTTCATCAGATGGTGATGACCAACATATGGTCTGCCAATAGTCCATCATTCCCTTTGTACTAAGGACAAAATTTCGGAAGAATCAAAAGATTCAGAATAAACCTGAATATCTCCTTTCATCAAAGGATTCAATCTTCTTTGATCTCGGGAGGCTCTAGAGAGAGACAACTCCAGATCCTCCTAAAAGAAACGAAAAAATGTTAAAGGGGTTAAGAATGAGTTTCTTGAGCAGAATCAGCAATAGGTATTTTACTTCCTATACCTTTCTGAAGAATACAGGACAATATCTCTTATCTCCGCTCCTCAATATCAAACTCTGAGACTGAAAAGCAGCACAGAAATAAGGTTGTTATAAAAAAGGAAAAAAATCAAACCAAAAAAGGAGGAACTGCGCTTCATTATTGTTTCTTTCTACTAGTTAAGTGCGCATTACACAATAATGACCTCAGAAGAAACAAAATTAAGGAACTTTTATACACAACTTTTGTCCAACAATAGAGAAACAATACTTTGAAGGCATTTTTGCGACCATCATGGTTGTTTTTTAGTCTAGTTTTTGCCTAGTCCAGAAGCACAAATGAGATTTATATTTTGCATGTGGAAAGAGACATAGGTCAGATAGAGACATCCGAACACAGGGAAAGAGATCAGAGTGAAACTGGGAAAACCCAGCACAGGGAAACGAAAATGGGCTTGTCTACCCTTAAGAAAAGGGGCTTTTGGTGCATCGTCTAGCCTTAATTTATTGGAATGAATGCCAAACTGTTGAGTTTCAATATCGATTAAGTACTAAGAATGAGGTTCTTGAGTTCAATAGAGCCACCTGATATTGAAAATGTTGGTGGAGAGATAAGGAAGTATATGGGAGGAAGAAGTCAATAAAAGCACTGAAGAGAGTGGTACGGTAGTGAATAAAAGAACTCCATAAGTATATGGAGATAAGGAAGTATATGGGAGAAAGGGTATCAGAGAGAAGTATGGGATTCAAAGGTTTATTGGGTATATATCTGGGTAAATATACCTTTCTATTTTGATAAATCCAAGGAATACTGATTGTCGCAATGGGTGATAAATGTAATAGATTGAGGCCAGCAGCATTAGATAAAGCCAGTGGATATCCTATTGTCTAGAGAAAGGTGGAGAGAATGGGAGGACAAGGAGTATTGAGGGGTTAGACAAAAGGGAGAACAGGGGATGATGACAAACAGGATAAGGGTAGAGAATACCAATTTTATTCAAGAAAGGGAAGGCAGGAGTTGGATGAATTAGTGGAGGAGAAATACTGCTCTGAAGATAATGATGACCAACTATTTGAAGATTCAGGGAGGGAGAAGGGATGAAAACAATGACATCCTGATGCTTAAACTGGAGGGATTTTATCACGATGCTCCCATAGTTACAACTTAAGAAATACGGGGTTTTTATATTAGCTTCAATACCCATTTCTATGCTTTATACCAAGTACCTTGAGGTTCAATATCATTTTATGAGAAAAGGTGCTCCATGATGAAGTTGATTTGGTTTATGTTTCTACTAGTGAATCCATAAAGATCTATTCAACAGGTTGACGGCAACTGTTAGGTTTGTGTAGTTTAGAGAGCAGCTCGGTATGTTGAGAATGGCAACCCATTGACATAGGTATTAGAAGTCAATTAGACTCCAAAAATTCAGACTTTACTATTCTACTGTTCATTCGAGTGTAGCTCGGCATGTTGAGAATGGCAACCCATTGTCATTTTGGTTTTTACACACATTCTAGTTTTTCTTGGGCTTGACTGCATCCTATGAGAGTACTGTTGGCACTTTGGATTATTCATAGAACTGTTGAAGTCTTTCTGTACCTCGAAGCCTATTGTATGTACAAGATAGTCGGGTATTGTGTATCAACAGCACTTCCTCCAAAACCATAACACCAGAACTAGTCTGAAAAAATTTATATACAACTACTCTGCTAGCAATTGTTCTGGCATTTAAGACAAATATTCTCCTATCATATTCCTATTCAGCTAGTTATTTTGAATAAGCTCAACTTGAATGGTCCTGATCCTAACCAATTTCTTGCTATTTCAGTTCATAGGACTCTTCTATTTCAGGGTAAAATATTGCATCAACCTTATACGTTCTCCTACTTATTCATCTTGATCCCTTGTATTTTGATAATTTGCAATAAACCTGAAACATCCACTAATGGATTTATCATGTCATGTATTATACCCTAGCAAATAATATGATTCATTTCTCACCATTCAGAATTTACTTATCTGCATACTCATATAAAGACAGTAAAAAATGACCAGAATGCTCCAAGATATACATTCAAAACTTTGAACTTTGCCATCTCATAGATATAAGAGTAACTAATTTTCTCCATGAACAAATGATAATGCACCGCTTAAGGTAAACACCCTACAACATTTGCATTATAGTAATAGGCCAAAGATATGAGAATGCGTGTGTGTGTGTGTGTGTGTGTGTGTGTGTGTGTGTGTGAGAAGAGAGAGAGAGAGAGAGAGAGAGAGAGAGAGTACGGTTAGTACGTACTACCAAAACTAAACAAAACGAAAAAGTATACGAAACGAAAAACTAAAAAAAACGTAACGTACCTTACCACGTACGTAGGACGAGGTAGTACG